AACCCGGACCTTAAACCACCAAAAAAATTTTAAAAATTAAAAACCTTGCTTTACCGCAAAAAAAAAAAAAAAAAAAAGGACAATGAAGTCGCAATCACGTCCACCCATCCCTAGATGCAGGCACTGAACCTCTCACAGCAAAGGATTTCTTTCTGGTATCTAATATCTAATAATCTGGTATCTAAATCAGTGCCACAAACCCCATTTTACACTCTCAAAGCCCCTGCCAGAGATCTCAGCTCCAGTAGCCAAGTAAATACCAGGAAAAAAACAATGCAGTGGCTTCAAAATGACACTTTTCTTTGCAGCTGGGGAAAGGGAAGAGTGAACGTGTGACACACAAAATTCCTAGTCCACGGAAGGCAACTGAGAGCTCAGTAGCCCACCCCTCTTTCCTTCGGGGCTGGGAACGCAGCAGTTTATCCCAGGGAAAAGCCTGCAAAGTGGAAGCAGCTGTGAAACATGGGGACACGTCACCAGCAGCCACCAGGCCTGTAACACTGACCTTAAACCAGCAAAGTAGTTATAGAAATTAAAAACCTTGCTTTACCCCTAAAAAATAAAATGAAGGACATAATCACATCCACCCATCCCTAGGTGCAGGCACTGAACCTCATCAGACAACGACTTCACATCAGCATGAGCAGAATACGTACAAACACTGAATTCCTGAAGACACCACACAACTGCTTCACCTTCTAAATAGGTCTCCCCTTAAAATGAACTGTGAAAGAGTGATGTTTAGACACCACGGGCAGATATTTATTGTTTTTTCTTCTGGTAGAAGCAGCATCAAGGTCTTTCCCTACTTTTGTAGGTAGTAAAGTTCTACTCATAGGCATATTTTCGAAAGGTGAGGGGTCTCCATTTCCCTGCTGAAACTCCACAGCAAGAGAAGCCTCTCTCTTTGAGCGAACTCTTCACATCAAATAGACAATCAAGCCCTTTCCTCCCGCAGTTGCTCCCTGGCACTATTGAGCTACGTAGGCAGTGACATAATTGATTTCACTTGCTGAACTAGAAAAGGCTGTACCGACAGGGAAGTGCATCTATAGCAGGAATGTCTAAACCCACAAACCTTTCCCACTGTAGGCCACGCATTAAAACAAATTACCATCACTGATAGATAGACTTTTACATTTTTTAAAAATCTTTTAAAACAAATTACCATCACTGATAGATAGATTTTTAAATTTTTAAAAAAAATTTTTTAGAAAGTGAAACCATTCAAATTAACACACAAAATCTGCTACTT